GACAGCATCCTTGGTGCTCTCTGGGTTGAGTTGCTGGTTAGGAGATATGTCACGACCCATCTAGATATCATTAACAAGACCTGGTCAAAAGAAGGACTGGGGGCGACATGAAAGCCCTCGGTAGTCAGTGGGAATCTGCATGGACCTGTTAAGTGTTCCAATATCTAAGGGGCTGCCATAAAAAAGAGGAGGTCATACTATTTTGTAAAGCACCAGAAGGCAGGATGAGAAGCAATGGATGGAAACTAATCAAGGAGAGACGCAACCTGGAATCAAGGAGAAATTTCCTAACAGTGAGGCCAGGAAAGATGGCTACTCTAACCCTCCTGCCCTTCTTGGTCATCTTATATTATACAGGTACAGCAGAGGTGGTACAGTAGCAACTGGGAGAGGGATCTTGGAGTCCTAGTGGACAACCACTTAAATAGGAGCCAGCCGTGGGCAGCAGCTGGCAAAAAAGCCAACACAGTTCTAGGCTGCATCAACAGAGGGAGAGAATCAAGATCACGTGAAGGGTTGATGCCACTTTATAAGGCCTTGGTAATAAGGCCACACTTGGAATATTTGCATCCAGTTTTGGTCACCACGAAGTAGAAAAGATGTGGAGACTCTAGAAAGAGTGCAGAGAAGAGCAACAAAGAGGATTAGGGGACTGGAGGCTAAAACATATGAGGAACAGTTTCAGGAACTGAATATGTCTAGTTTAATGAAAAGAAGGACCAGAGGAGCCATAGCATGCGTGCCGCAGGTGGCACACGGAGCCCTCCCTGTGGGCATACAATCCGTCGCCCCAGCTCAACTCCACCGCGCCTGCCGGCCTTCTGATTTTTGGGTCTCTGCCACGCATGCGTGGGGGCGAGGTCAAGGGTGGGCTCCAGCTTCTGTTACTGCTGGTTCACTCAGGGACATGCTTTGCGCTGCACAGTAATAAAAAAATTGCTTCTGCGCATGCACAGAAGCAAAAAACAAGAGGGCAGCACCTATGGTGCCGCCGATAGAACTGGTACTTCCCAAACCGGTAGGAACCCATCCCTTGGCAGGGTGCATGCAGGAGACGCGCAGGCATGCAGGGGGTGGTGGTATCGTCACATGCGTAGGGGCGAGGGAAGCACGGGGGGGGAGGCAGCGTGCCCCCTCCCGTGCCCTGTTTTTTGGTCTTAGGAGACTTCAGAGAGGCCTATTGGGCCCAAAATGAGGCGTGGTGCGGCATACTCCCAGGAAGGTGGGTGCAGTGGGGGGGGTAATGTGCACATGTGCAGGGGTGGGGCACGTGGGGGGGAGTGTCCTGCGCGCATTGCGTTATGCGCTTTCGGCAGGTGACGACAAAAAGGTTAGCCATCACTGGCCTAATCCAGGGGTCATCAAACTGCGGCTCTTGAGCCGCATGTGGCTCTTTCATCCCTCTGCTGCGGCTCCCTGTCGCCAGTCAGCTCCACAATTGATAGGGCTTTCGGTTAAGGCAGGTAGAGGAAAAAGAACGCCGCACTAGGAGGAGACTCTATGGTGGGGGAACCGGACTTCCGATTGACTCCAGAATTGAACAGGGGGCTTCCGGTTAGGACCTTTCTGGCTCTTTGACTGTTTAAGATTGCTGACCCCTGGCCTAATCTTTCTGCTTCGTTGTTTTTACAGCCTATAGCTCCCTCCAGTACCCCGCTAACGTCTCACTCTCGCTACCTTTTGGAGACCCGGATCGGAATACGGCTTGTCCTCCAGCCTACAGCCTCTACGCCATAGAGATGCCCCCTTCTTACGACGAGGCCATCCGCATGTCCAAGCCGGAGACTCCGTCAGTGGGCCCAAAACCAGACAGCCACGCCTGTGAACCAGCAGCGTCAGATAGGGAGAGGAACGAAACCCCCAATTTGCCCGGATCATCCCAAAACCGCCCCATGGAGGCGCAGGAGAACCCGGGGGATGCATCTGCTTCTTCCCCCGAGCAATCGTAGTGGTAGGGGAAGAGGGGAATGAGGACTGAAGTCACAGTGGAGAAGGGAAATGTGATAATCTGTGCTTGGATCCAGTGTCTCCTGCCACTTCTGGTAAAAGTAAAGGTTCCCCTCACACATCTGTGCTAGTCATTCCTGACTCCAGGGGGTGGTGCTCATCTCCGTTTGAAAGCCGAAGAGCCAGCGCTGTCCGAAGACATCTCTGTGGTCATGTGGCCCTCACGACTCAACGCCGAAGGCACACGGAACACTGTTCCCTTCCCACCAAAGGCAATTCCTATTTTTCTCCTTGCATTTTTTAATGTGCTTTCGAACGGCTAAGTTGGCAGAAGCCGGGACAAGTCACGGGAGCTCCCTCTGTTACATGGCGCTGGGGATTCAAACCGCCGACCTTTCTGATCGACAAGCTCAGCGTCTCAGCCACTGAGCCACCCCCATGGGTACCGTTGGACTTTTCGGGAAAATGGAAACGAGAGCCTTGCCAAACCCCTTCTGCCGTGTCTGAATTATCCAAGGTGAAAAATAAAGCTTTTTTGGGGAGGGGGGAAACAAGCCCCCTACCCTTAGAGGTTCAGCTGCCCTGAGTGCATTGGATTAGCAGAAAGTTTGTGCCTGCTGGACTTAAAGGGGGTCAAAGGATTTGTACCCCACACATCCCGAAAAGAAAACCCCCCGAGAGCAAGTCCAGATTAATCTCTCTCTTCTTCTGGGAAGACTGGATTTTCCAGCAAATCGCTGGAAGATGGAATTCGTTGCTATGTAACGGCCAAACTTGGACCCAGCGCCCGTTTTTTAATTTTCTTTTTCCCCCATCGTCTTTCGATAGACTGGGCGATATTTTCCACGGTGCCAAAGTGTTGGGAACTCTTCCGGGAAAGGCCAAAGTTCCTTTTGTTTTTAATCCTAAATCCAAACCGGAGTATAGTTTGTCGGTTTCCGGCAGCCCCGATTCCGTCGACTCCTCCGAAGACAATTGCTCTGCGTCCAATTAGGATGGGAATTCTGCGTTGGGATATATTTTGAGTTCTTGCTGCGGATTTAAAAGAAGGATGCCGTCTTTTTTGCCAAGAAGCCCTTGAGGTTTTTTTTAATTTTGAATCTAGCAATATTCTGCTGGACTATTGATGTGTTTTGTATTTTAGGTATTTGTCTTAAAAAGTGTTTTTCTCTCTGTGTGTCTCTCTGTCTCTTTCTGTCCCTCTGTCTGTCTGTCTGTCTGTGTGTCTCTGTCTCTGTGTCTCTGTCTGTCTGTGTCTGTCTCTCTTTCTCTGTTTGTGTGTCTGTTTGTGTCTCTCTCTTTCTCTACGTGTCTCTCTGTGTCTCTCTCTTTCTCTCTGTGTCTCTCTCTTTCTCTCTGTGTCTCT